TCTAAGAGGCTGTCCAGCCTGACCCAGTAGGTTTCACACTTAATGTCCAAATCTCACTTTACATCTGCTTTAATGTGACTGGGTGGGCATGGCAAACTCAAGTTTCAAGTTTATTAGAATTTGTATGCCGCCCACTCCCATAGGGACTCTGGGCGGCTCACAACAGACAAGAAACATTTAATTTTTAAAAATAGAGATAAAAAAAATAAACATCATTTGTTTGCCCTAATTACATTTTAAGTATAAAAAAGATATACCAAAAGGTAGTTTATTTTATGCATTTAATACTTAAATAATAAGAGGTATACAAAACTAGATTTTGTTACAAGAGTTTTGCAATATGAATGAAAAACTCAACACAACTATACAAGTTTTACAATATGAATGAAAAACTATAAACTACACAAGTTTGACAATATGAATTAAAAACTATACAAGTTTTACAATAAGAATAAAAGTTATTTGTTGTAGATGCTTTAAATCATCTGTTGCTTTTGATGTTTTTTCCCTACATGCAGAAAACCAATTTGTACATGTTGCCAATATCATTTTTAAAAGGGACAGATTCAAACATGGTTGTGAAGTGTATCATGTTCTGTTAGTTCTGAATTCATATTATGGGAACCCATCTTTGTGATAAATCAGGCAATTGTGCCTGATGCCATAAACAACACACAACATAGTACAATGAGTGAACCTAACTATTGTGATTTATTCCACACACCAATTTGTGTCTCCCTCTGTTATCAATTACTATGTATATATTTCTTGCTGTCTGTTACATAGCTTACCTAAAACCTTTGACCATCCTTCATAGCTAACCCTCAGAAATGCAAAGCATTCTTATTAATTCTATATTATATGAACCGAAATTCATGTACCAAAAAGTTAGCGGTCCTTAAGTGTTATTCCAACCGAAAAGCCTCCTCTCCCTTCCTGCTCATCTTAGCAGGTATGGAAAAAGAAGCCGGGCCACCACGCAGCTATGCCTGAAAACCTCACCTGAGTTTTTAAAACTCAACGAAAAACCTCCAAGCCTTTAAGGGGCAGCACCTGGCCCTGGGTAACTCTTCAGCAATCCCCAACAGTCCTCTGAACGCCACTCTCAAAGCCGCTACTCACCTTGCCAGCCGAGGGGACACCCAGCTTACCTGTTGCTGCTGGAACGGTCAGGAGCAGGCCAAGTCAGATGAATGAGAGACCGCTGCTGTAGACCACGGGAAAGGCAAAGAAGTAGGCTGTGCCATGTGGCCACGTTGATCCAGGCAAGGGAGTCAAAGAGCAGCTGCAGCTATGCCGCAGTGTAACTCTTAAGGCACCAGCCAAGGTGTGCAAGGCCAATAAATAGTGGCGGGGCGGGGTGGGGAGGAGAGGGGCGAGGAGGGGCATGGGTAGCCAGAATTTCTACTACCGGTTCGCTCGAACTGGCCAGGACCGACAGACTCCTACCACTGGATGTACCCCATTTCATTGGCCTTCATTGCACCATCCAGCAGGTTTCAACCAAACTTAGCACACAGACAACCTACAAAGCTAGCTATGACCTCTGACAGCAACCAATCAGGATACTCTTCCTGTGCCCCAAGAAGTTCAAAGCCCAAAGAGAACATAAAACCCAGGGACTCACAGCATCTCTTCCCTTTTCTGCTCAGGAACTCAAGCCATGTGATCCTGTTCAGGAACTCAAGCCATGTGATCCTGTTCAGGAACTCAAGCCATGTGATCCTGTCCACCATTAAACCATACTTTCAAACAGCCTCCGTGTTTCCAGTGTCTTTTTCCCCACTTGGAGCTGAACCCAGATGGGCATTTCTTCCAACAATTTGGCACCCCAGAGATGGGACTCCAAGCTAACATAACCAATGGACCTGACCCAAGTAAGCTTCCCTTGCTGGCAGCAAACCCATTGAGTCTGTGGGTACGTTTTCTTGGACCTTGGCCATTTGGAACTAGGTTTAAAAGGGGTTTTGAGTTTTGAGCTCAAAGGCTGCTTGGAAAGGTGAGTACATCTAAATTTTAATTTTAAGGCATGGAAAAGTGTGGGAAATGTGTGTACGCCTCTGTGTGTGTGTGTGAGAGAGAGAGTGTTTTCACCGTTGGACAGCAGCTGGATTTTATTTCTCTGTTTGGCCTCTAGCCACACCCCTGTCTGTTGCTAGCTCCTCTGAGCCTTGACCGACAGAACAGGGAAAGCAGGGGGGGGGCGGGTGGCATCAGAGTGTGAGACCTTCTGCACATAAGAGGAAAAGCCAAGTGGGATGTGATTGTGATTGAAGGGTGGGAAGAAAATTTTGCCGTTGCTCTTTTTGCCCTGTCAAAGGGAAACCGAGAAGCAAAGCTTAGTTCTTGAGGT